TTTGCTACAGTTTAATTCAAATTAATTAGAAAAGTTTTGAAAGTAGTACATATGTACATATATTAAAATCGTTTACGGATTAGCAAATATTTGCTCTTAAATGTATTTCCCTCAGTGTTCTCATAACTGCTCTTGTACTTATAGATCATTAAAACTAGCAACCTATAAAAATTATGAATAAACTATAAATATGACGTAAATTATAAATATTCATGAAGAAATGTTGAATTTTTTTCTGTTTAACATATAATTTATAAGACAAAAAAAAAACCGGTTGCTAAAAAAAATCTTTGACTACAATTAGAGATAAAACAACTACATTCATACATTAAGGTCTAACAATAAAATAAAATAAAAAATATAAAAAAAAATAAATAAAACTTTAGAAATAACATCAACATGTATTTTGTTTAATATTAACTAAAAATGCATTCAACATCAAAAACAATGATTTACAACATTCTGCACTTCAGTGCGAAAGTCATTGCCAGCAAACATTGTGTTTGCCACTTAATATTTATTAAAAGACAGTCAAATAAGAAATCAAGTATATTTTAATCATGCTATGTAAAACAAAATATTGAATTGTTATCTATCAATTTCTGTTTATCTATCTATCTATCTATCTATCTATCTATCTATCTATCTATCTATCTATCTATCTATCTATCTATCTATCTATCTATCTATCTATCTATCTATCTATCTATCTATCTATCTATCTATCTATCTATCTATCTATCTATCTATCTATCTATCTATCTATCTATTAGCTATCTATCCTATCTTATCTATCTATCTATCTATCTATCTATCTATCTTCTATCTAGCTATCTATCTACTATCTATCTATCTATCTATCTATCTAGCTATCTATCTATCTATCTATCTATCTATCTATCTATCATCTATCTATCTATCTATCTATCTATCTATCTATCTATCTATCTACTATCTCTCTATCTATCTATCTATCTATCTATCTATCTATCTATCTATCTATCTACTATCTATCTATCTATCTATCTATCTATCTATCTATCTATCTATCTATCTATCTATCTATCTATCTATCTATCTATCTATCTATCTATCTATCTATCTATCTATCTATCTATCTATCTATCTATCTATCTATCTATCTATCTATCTCTATCTATCTATCTATCTATCTCTTCTATCTATCATCTATCTATCTATCTATCTATCTATCTATCTATCTATCTATCTATCTATCTAATCTATCTCTATCTATCTATCTATCTATCTATCTATCAGTTATAATCTTTCCAAAAGTTTTACTTCAATTTCGATTACTGGGTTTACTAAAATGAAACTTTAAATGGGTTGGGCCTGAAATAGTGTCGTTGTAGTTAAAACACGAAAAAAAACAGCAAATTTAACACCATCATTAATTGAGGGATTTTGCAACAAGAAAAACACAACGGTGACTACCTACCACTTACTACAGAACAAACTACACATTTTTTAATGTTATATATGATTTTGTCTTCAAATATTTATTAGTTAAACAAGTATAAACAAAAATCCGAATTTAACAAAAAACGAAAATATTAATTTCATATTTAGTACTAAACAATACAACATACAGATAAGCTTTAAGAAGAAATAGGGTTGCCAAACTATTTTTTAAATGTTTTTGTTAATTCAAAGATTTATTTGACATTTCATTAAAAGCTGAACAAATTCATTGTTGTGTTTAGAAAATCCAAAATAATTAAAAATTTGACATTTGCCCGATTTCGAAACAATTATATAAATTGAAATTTTTGTCCTGACAGGAGAATGGATTTAGTAAATATTTCATTTGGTCCGTTAAATAAGATTTAAAATTGGGACAAAATAACATTTATTAGAATTGTTTCAATTCCCCATAATCCCACTTTAGGGCAATTTATTCACCAAAACACTTGGCAACTCTATTTCATTTAAAAAAAGAAATGCCGGTAATCACGAATGTTACAAACAACTACTAAATCTTTTTCGCGCTACAGACAAGTCACTCAGTCGGTTAAAGACATTACAATTGAAAAGATTTAAAAAACAATAATCAAAAAAAGCAGACCTTTAAACAAAATAAAAACGAGTTTTAAATAAATTTGTTAAACAAAACTTCTAAATATCTTTATGGCATTAAATTCAAATTAAAACAAATAAATATAAATAATACTCGTTAAATTTAACAACAATAACCAAAAAAAAGCAATAAGAATGAACTGCTGTTCAATTTCTTAAAAGGAAATTAATAAAAATGTTTAAATTTAAATCGTTTAATGGCAGGCCACATATATCATTTTCAACACATTCAGCAACATCATCATCGTTAACGTTGGCATCATCATCATTATCAGCGCCTTCTTCTTCTTCGACATCCGCAAAGTGTTGTTCTCTATGTCCTTTATATAAAAATATTTTATGTTTAATAATCGGTTTAATAATTGGCATACGTTTTACTGACATTTGGTTTAATTTACAAAATGAAACATTAACAACAATTCTACCAGCAACGGCGACATCAACAGCAACAACAGCAACAACAACAACAACAACATTGACATCATCTTTCTCTTCATCATTAGAGGCGAATGACAATTTATTTAATACAACCAGAGTTCTCTGTTGGATTTTGACAAATCCCACCAACCATTTAACCAAAGCCATACACATCCGTCATACCTGGGGAAGACGTTGTAATAAATTATTATTCATGAGCTCGAAAGAGGATAACGATTTGCCCACCATTAAATTGGATGTTGAGGAAGGTCGCGAAAATTTATGGAATAAAACCAGGTTGGCCTTAAAATATATTTATGATCATCATATCGATGATGCGGAGTGGTTTTTAAAAGCTGATGATGACACGTAAGTTAAACCATGAAAAAATTGTTTAAAAAGAAATCCCATTAATTTTTTTTTATTATTAACACTGAAGTATTTAAATACTGATGGCTTTAAAAAATATTTTATTTAGTTGAAATCAAGAAATAAAATAAAACAAGTAATTTTTTTAAATTTAATTTTATCAAGGACAAAACTCTGACATTTTTCGATAATGAAAATGATGAAATTTAAACATTTGTTAATTATTTATTTAAATAATAATTATAATTAGGTACTTATAATTTTGAATCAAGTCTAGTTTAAGAAATACGAGGGTAATTCAAAAAAATTTCTGCGGTACTAATCAAACACTGAAATTTTGTGACAAATCGGTGTAAGTTATCTCCTGCACATGGTATTTCGACACTGAATTTGTTCAGTTTTTTTTTTTAATAGATCGTTATTAGATAATCTTATTCCTCCTCAGGGGGATGCCAGTGTAATCTACTAGATATAGAGTGGACTATAGACTAGATTATAGACTAGACTATAGACTAGACTATAGACTAGACTATAGACTAGATTATAGACTAGACTATAGACTAGACTAATAGACTAGACTATAGACTAGACTAAGACTAGACTATAGACTAGACTATAGACTAGACTATAGACTAGACTATAGACTAGACTATAGACTAGACTATAGACTAGACTATAGACTAGACTATAGACTAGACTATAGACTAGACTATAGACTAGACTATAGACTAGACTATAGACTAGACTATAGACTAGACTATAGACTAGACTTAGACTACTATAGACTAGACTATAGACTAGACTATAGACTAGACTATAGACTAGACTAGACTAGACTATAGACTAGACTATAGACTAGACTATAGACTAGACTATAGACTAGACTATAGACTAGACTATAGACTAGACTATAGACTAGACTATAGACTAGACTATAGACTAGACTATACTAGACTATAGACTAGACTATAGACTAGACTATAGCCTAGACTATAGCCTAGACTATAGACTAGACTATAGACTAGACTATAGACTAGACTATAGACTAGACTATAGACTAGACTATAGACTAGACTATAGACTAGACTATAGACTAGACTATAGACTAGACTATAGACTAGACATAGTACTGACTATAGCCAGACTATAGACTAGACTATAGACTAGACTATAGACTAGACTATAGACTAGACTATAGACTAGACTATAGACTAGACTATAGACTAGACTATAGACTAGACTAGACTAGCTATAGACTAAGACTAGACTAGACTATAGACTAGACTATAGACTAGACTATAGACTAGACTATAGACTAGACTATAGACTAGACTATAGACTAGACTATAGACTAGACTATAGACTAGACTTAGACTAGACTATAGACTAGACTATAGACTAGACTATAGACTAGACTATAGACTAGACTATAGACTAGACTATAGACTAGACTATAGACTAGACTATAGACTAGGACTATAGACTAGACTATAGACTAGACTATAGACTAGACATAGACTAGACTATAGACTAGACTATAGACTAGACCATAGACTAGACTATAGTATAGTCTATAGTCTAGTCTATAGTCTAGTCTATAGACTAGACTATAGACTAGACTATAGACAAGACTATAGACAAGACTATAGACTAGACTATAGACAAGACTATAGACTAGACTATAGACTAGACTATAGACTAGACTATAGACTAGACTATAGACTAGACTATAGACTAGACCATAGACTAGACTATAGTATAGTCTATAGTCTAGTCTATAGTCTAGTCTATAGACTAGACTATAGACTAGACTATAGACAGACTATAGACAAGACTATAGACTAGACTATAGACAAGACTATAGACTAGACTATAGACTAGACTATAGACTAGACTATAGACTAGACTAGACTATAGACTAGACTATAGACTAGACTAGACTCTAGACTAGACTATAGACTAGACTATAGACTAGACTATAGACTAGACTATAGACTAGACTATAGACTAGACTATAGACTAGACTATAGACTAGACTATAGACTAGACTATAGACTATGACTAGACTATAGACTAGACTATAGACTAGACTATAGACTAGACTATAGACTAGACTATAGACTAGACTATAGACTAGACTATAGACTAGACTATTGACTAGACTATAGACTAGACTATAGACTAGACTATAGACTAGACTATAGACTAGACTATAGACTAGACTATTGACAAGACTATAGACTAGACTATAGACTAGACTATAGACTAGACTATAGACTAGACTATAGACCTAGACTATAGACTAGACTATAGACTAGACTATAGACTAGACTATAGACTAGACTATAGACTAGACTATAGACTAGACTATAGACTAGACTATAGACTAGACTATAGACTTGACTATAGAGCAGACTATTATTTTATTTAGTTGACTAGACTATATAGACTAGACTAGACTAGACTATAGACTAGACTATAGACTAGACTATAGACTAGACTATAGACTAGACTATAGACTAGACTATAGACTAGACTATAGACTAGACTATAGACTAGACTATAGACTAGACTATACTAGACTATAGACTAGACTATAGACTAGACTATAGAGCAGACTATTATATAGACTATAGACTAGACCCATAAATTTATCAGTTAACAAAAATTCTGCCCTAAGTCCTCAGAAATATACTACTACCGCCGATATCTTGTATACAAACTAATTTTAAACGTGAAACCTTCCAATCTGGTCCATTTTAGTTATGTTATCATGGAAAATTTAAGATATTTTCTATATCAATATCCTCCAGAAGCTGCTATATATTTTGGGGCCAAATTTAAACGTTTTGTTAAACAGGTAAAATCTAATAAATCTAACAAACATAATTTCCATTTAACACTAAAAATCCTCTTTTTCCTTAAAAGGGCTACATGTCTGGCGGTGCTGGTTACGTTCTTAGTCGAGAAGCTTTAAAAAAAATTTGCGACTGAAGCCTATGACGATCCCGACAAATGCGGCGAATCTTATGAAGCAGAAGATGTACAGTTGGGCATGTGTTTAGAAAATGCTGGTGTAATAGCCGGTGATTCTAGAGATGAAGAAGGTAATGAACGTTTTCTGCCACTGCCCATAGAATATCTTATACCGGAAGATAAAACATGGTGGTATAAAAATTATTCTTATTATCCACAAAAAGAAGTAAGTGTATAATTTTAATTTTATTCAAATAGATTATTTTTATGTAAGAATTTCTACATTTTCAGAATGCCACTTGCTGTTCACCCAGTGCCATATCATTTCATTATATTGTTGCTGATCAATTATATGTTTTAGATTATTTTTTATATACCTTAAGAGTTGTGGGTATTTATAATAATTTTATATTACCTAAGAAAATACCATTATCCAATATATTAACAGAGGGTTTGGATAATTTTGAACCTATACCAGAACCACCGGTTGATATAACTTAATTAAAATTAATATATTTAAAAATAATGTGATATTTTTGTCTTTTTGTTTGTATATTTGCCAAATATTTATAAATAAATTAATTAAAATTAATCAAATAAACTAATTTAAACTAATAATAGTTGAGTCTTTGAGGATTTAACAACAAACATTTTGAAGTACTTCAACTTTATTATATTTTATATAAGCTAAATTATTCTTAAACCTGATTAAGTCAACACCTTCCATGTAACACCCCTGTTCTACGAGTCCCTAATAAGTAAAGAAGTCTCGTTGGAAATTTGATATAGTATTCTTCTGATCAACTGCATTAATAATAAGACAATAATGATGTGATCTAAGAATCTAATCTAAATTTCAAATTCTTTACGACTCGGCCCATAGTGGTTTCAAATCTGACTAAAAAGTCCTCATCTGAAATCACTAATGTTAATATCGATACTACTTATTAATGACAATAATTTGTTCGAAGAAATTAATCAAAATTTCAAATAATTTAGAACCCGGTCCATAGTTGATTTAAGTCAGATTGAAAGGTCCTTATCTGAAATTACTTGGACTTAGATGAGGACTTTTAGATTTCTCATTCCACAGTGGAACAGTAATTTGTTCTAAGAAATTAATCAAAATTTCAAATAATTTAGGACCCGGTCCATAGTAGATTTAAGTTAGATTGATTCAGATGAGGACCTTTAGATCCATTCCACAGTGGGACAGTATCAAATTGTTTTTATAAATCATCTGCCATTTAAAAACGGCTTTTCCGATCGGAATAAACATTGATATGGGCGTAGCCAAGGACCCCTCAAATGCCTCAGGGTCGGTGCTATGAAGGCTCAAGGTAAGGTATTTTCAACATTTAAAATATCAAAGATTTTTATATTCGAAAAGCTCTCGGCTAGGTCTTAAAAATGCCCATTCCTTGCTCCATTTTTTGTATATCCTTCACCTTCAATTCGCGTGTTTGTTTAAACCTGTATTCAGAAGACCCCAGATATCTGCAAGTTTCGAATCTTCTCCAACAAAATTGATCCAAAAAAAATAGAGATATGAGTAAATTTCCAAAACCACAATCCTCATAAATTCTATCAGAGAAATGTATGTGCTTATGTGACACTTATACATAATGTCAATTATGGACTGATTCTCAAAAAAATTGGTAGTGAAATTTTGGATCCTATAAAACCCGTAAATATTGAATTTCATTGCTATATGTGTATTTTTAATCAGTTGTGAGACATTGTGTCATTTCCGGAAGAGGACCTTATTAGGGGGGGTAGGGTTAATTATGAGCCGATCCTTATCAGATTCTTATTCTTATAAAACTTGTTTATGGTGAATTTCGCCACCGTACTGCTGTTATTAAGTTAGTTACAGTATGTTTCTGAAGGGGATCCTATAAGGGGGTAGGGTCAATTATAGACCGATCCTTATCAAATTAGAAGGTAGAGAATTTTTTCTTCTTATAAAATTTGTTTGTGTTAAAATTCCTCACTTTACTTCTATTATTTATGCCTTCGTTTTTGCAGGCGATCGTAGTAAGCACTTATTTAACTCCCTACCTGTAAACGGGCGTGGTAAGTACTTGCTTAAAATTTTAAAATGACTTAAAATGTTATAGTTTAAGTATAGTTTACTTTTCAATGATAGTTTTGTAAATCTGGTTGATCAACATGTGTTAAAATTCACGCACCCACTTGTCATTAAAACCACATATTTATGTTACTCGATTTTACATAATACCTACTCAGTTTTAATAGAACTTTGAACATAAATATATGAAAAAAATTATGAAAAACTAAATATAAATTAAAATATTATTACTTCTCGACAAAAAAATCTCTATAAACCGGAATTTATTAATAAAATCTATTAATTAATATGCAAACAAATACAACTTGTATAGCAGAAGCAGATCAACAAGTAGCTGATCAACACTGTATCAGAAGCTTAACGTATTTTTAAAAATTTTAATACACACAACTGGCAATGCTGTTAAAAAAGAAATTCCCAAAACACGCAAAAACGCTCTTTCGATCAGTTACTCAGTTAATCTCATTCGAAAAGAAGACGAAGCTTTTAAAAACACAAGCATTCGATAAACAACAGTTCAAACCCCTTAAATTCGCTAAACAAAACCCACAGCAAAAGCCTCAGTTAAACAATAACAAAACGGAACAAGTTTTGTGACTTAAACAATAATTTAAGAATTTAAATAACAATAAATAAAATTGTTAAACAGAAATATTATTAAGAAAATAAGTGAAATTGGAAAAAAAAAAACCCATAAAAAATATGGTAAAATGTAAAAATTCTAGCTCGTTGGGTCCCATATCACGAAATATTATATGTTTGACACTGGGTCTATTAATCGGCATAAGATTGACAACATTTTGGTATGATTTACAAGAAGGTGATGTTGATGAATTTTTGGCAGATGCTGTTGAAACAACAACAACAACAACACCTTCCTCATCACCATCTCTACAGGAATATGAACAATTGTCACAACAATTATTTAATAACACTCGAGTTCTATGTTGGATAATGACCAGTCCCAAAAATCATCACCACAAAGCCATACATATCCGTCAAACGTGGGGTACACGTTGCAATAAACTATTATTTATGAGCACAGAGCGTGATGAAGAATTGCCAAGTGTTAAATTGGATGATGTTGAGGAAGGGCGTCATAATCTTTGGAATAAAACCAAAAAGGCCTTGAAATATATTTATGATCATCATTTTGACGATGCTGAATGGTTTTTAAAGGCTGATGATGATACGTAAGTTTAAACTGTTAATAAGTTTAGATAAGATCTTATAATTTTAATTACTATTTGGTATTCGTAGTTTAAATCTGGTGTTAAGCATTGAATAAAATTATTAAAAAACAAGTAAGAAATTATAGTCGGGCGAGGCCGACCATATAATACCCTACACCTTTGACAAAAATATAATGTGATTTAGTTGCCATAATAAAGCATTTAAGTTGAATTGTACCTTACCTTAAATATACATACTTAAGCCGTTTATTGTTGAATAAAATTGTGGACGTTTAAGTGAAATTTTGATGGGGGCTTTTCATAGGGGCTAAGTTTATATGAATTCGTGGGGGTCATCAAGTCTTGTATACAAATTGGTTTTTGCAGCTTTTTGTCGAGATATGAGTATATTAAACATAATTATGAACCTATTCGGGGGTTCGGTTGTATGGGGGCTAGGTGAAATAATGGACCGATGTAAACCATTTTCAACAGGCTTCATCTACGGTACCATAAAATATCATGTGCCAAATTTCATTGAATTATCTCCAAAATTGCGACCTGTAGTATGATTACAAGTTTTAAAAGCTCTATTCGGGGTTTCAGTTGTATGGGGGCTAGGTGAAATAATGGACCGATGTTAACCATTTTCAATAGGCTTCGTCTACGATACCATAAAAGATCATGTGCCAAATTTCATTGAATTATCTTCAAAATTGCGAGCTCTAGTTTGATTACAAGTTTTAAAAGCCCTATTCGAGGGGTTCAGTTGTATGGGGGCTAGGTGAAATAATGGACCGATGTAAACTATTCAGGCTTCATCTACGGTACCATAAAAGATCATGTGCCAAATTTCATTGAATTATCTCCAAAATTGCGACCTGTAGTTTGATTACTAATTTTAAAAGCCCTATTCGGGGGTGCAGTTGTATGGGGGCTAGGTGAAATAATGGACCGATGTTAACCATTTTCAATAAGCTTCGTCTACGATACCATAAAAGATCATGTGCCAAATTTCATTTAATTATATCCAAAATTGCGACCTGTAGTTTGATTACAAGGATTACAAGCCCTATTGGGGGGTTCAGTTGTATGGGGGCTAGGTGAAATAATGGACCGATCTTAACCATTTTCAATAGGCTTCGTCCCTGGGACAATAGAATATCATGTACCAAATTTCATTGAATTATCATCAAAATTACGACCTGTAGTTTGATTACAAAGTTTACATGGACGGACGGACGGACATAGCTAAATCGACTCAGAAAATGATTCTGAGCCGATTGGTATACTTTAAGGTGGGTATAGGACCAATATTATTGTGCGTTACAAACAGTAGCACAAATCCAATATACCCTCCCCACTAAAGTGGTGTAGGGTATAAAAAGAACCGCAACTTAAAGAAAATGTATTGAGTTGAGTCACAAAAAAAAATTTAATATTTATATAAAAAAGTGCTAAATAATAAATATTTGTAAATTACAAAGATATTGAATACGTTTGAGCCGAATTTTAAATATTCGCCAACAAAAAGGGGACTTCACTTTATATATTAATTTATTGGTGGTTTTTTTATGCTTATATAAAACATAATTGTGTCGAGATCCAAGTATGTATATTTGAAGTAGTTGTGAGCTAAAAAGACCAAACCGGAACATCCGGTTGTATGATGGCTAGGTGAAGTAATGGAACGATTTGGAACGTTTTTCATTTACATATATAATCCAAGTTTTTACGACCCATAACGAATAATTTGTTCCATTTCGTAGAGATTGTACTGAAACGTCACTGAGAAATCTCCAGACTATTGTTTATGATCCTATGGCAGATTGTATCACCTAATCGAACATTTGTGATATTGATATTGAAGAGTCCTTTTGTATTGTTTGAATTTTGCTTATATATGATTAACTTTACTTTACAGTCAAATTTCTGGGTATTTAGAACTAACTTGGTTCAATCAAAACTGATGATATGACAAAATATTTGACATTTAATCACGTACTGAGCTTGATATACATATTTATTGCCCACAACTAAATTCACAACCGCAGAAATTATATATACATTAGATGTTTGCAGATTAGAATATTGTCTATATTTGGATGCGTATAAGAAGACTTCTTCATGTTTTAATTATTAAATAAACTTTGCACTAAACATAAACAGAACAGACTATAGCCCAAGTCATAGACTAGCTAAGACAGACTATAGACTAGCTATAGACTAGACTATAGACTAGACTATAGACTAGACTATAGACTAGACTATAGACTAGACTATAGACTAGACTATAGACTAGACTATAGACTAGACTATACGACTAGACTAGACTATAGACTAGACTATAGACTAGACTATAGACTAGACTATAGACTAGACTATAGACTAGACTAGACTATAGACTAGACTATAGACTAGACTATAGACTAGACTATAGACTATAGACTAGACTATAGACTAGACTATAGACTAGACTATAGACTAGACTATAGACTAGACTATAGACTAGACTATAGACTAGACTATAGACTAGACTATAGACTAGACTATAGACTAGACTATAGACTAGACTATAGACTAGACTATAGACTAGACTATAGACTAGACTATAGACTAGACTATAGACTAGACTATAGACTAGACTATAGACTAGACTATAGACTAGACTATAGACTAGGACTATAGACTAGACTATAGACTAGACTATAGACTAGACTATAGACTAGACTATAGACTAGACTATAGACTAGACTATAGACTAGACTATAGACTAGACTATAGACTAGACTATAGACTAGACTATAGACTAGACTATAGACTAGACTATAGACTAGACTATAGACTAGACTATAGACTAGACTATAGACTAGACTATAGACTAGACTATAGACTAGACTATAGACTAGACTATAGACTAGACTATAGACTAGACTATAGACTAGACTATAGACTAGACTATAGACTAGACTATAGACTAGACTATAGACTAGACTATAGACTAGACTATAGACTAGACTATAGACTAGACTATAGACTAGACCATAGACTAGACTATAGACTAGACTATAGACTAGACTATAGACTAGACTATAGACTAGACTATAGACTAGACTATAGACTAGACTATAGACTAGACATAGACTAGACTATAGACTAGACTATAGACTAGACTATAGACTAGACTATAGACTAGACTATAGACTAGACTATAGACTAGACTATAGACTAGACTATAGACTAGACTATAGACTAGACTATAGACTAGACTATAGACTAGACTATAGACTAGACTATAGACTAGACTATAGACTAGACTATAGACTAGACTATAGACTAGACTATAGACTATAGACTATTAGGACTAGACTATAGGCTAGACTATGGACTAGACTATAGACTAGACTATAGACTAGACTATAGACTAGACTATAGACTAGACTATAGACTGACTATAGACTAGACTATAGACTAGACTATAGACTAGACAATAGACTAGACTATAGACTAGACTAACTAGACTAGACTAGAGACCAGAATATAGACTGGACTACAGGCTAGGCTAAAGACCAGAATATAGACTGGACTATAGACTAGGCTATAGACTAGACTATAGACTAGACTAGAGACCAGAATATAGACTGGACTACATGCTAGGCTAATGACCAGAATATAGACTGGACTATAGACTAAACTATAGTCTATACTCAGACTGGGCTATAGACTAAACTATAGTCTATACTCAGACTGGGCTATAGACTATACTATAGACTAGGACTATAGTCTATAATGTAGACTTTTTATGCTATAGACTATACTACAGTCTATGCTATAGACTGGACTACCGACTGAATACTATGTGGACTACTTATCAGAAGTTTGTTAGTTAGAAAAAGTACCGAATAAGCTGTGGGTGTACCGCGGTGTTTTTCCAAATGAAAAAGTACCAAAGTGCTGAATATTCCATGTCTGATTCCACATAAACAAGTTTTATAGAAAAAAGCATTTTTACTAAATCCTTATAAAGGTCGGTTCATAATTGTCCCTATACCTTATAACTAGACTAAAGTTTGCTCATAACTGGACTAAAAGTTGCTTATAACTAGATAAAATTAGGCAAAAAAGTTGGTATAGGAATCAAAATCACTCTACTAAATTTTATGAGAATCGGTCCGTAATTGACCTAATCCTCCATACATGGTCCTCACCAGAAAATTATTACAACGCTCATATTGCTCGGTTCATAACTGAATCAAGCCTCCATTAAACTCTTAAGATCTTAGTCCATATATAGGACCACCTTCCGTGTATAAGTTAGCCGAACATAGCTCTGTTGTTTAAATTTTTATTGATCTGTTTCGATAATATTTAGCTGATATTTGTAATGAATTTTTGTATCAACTTTCAGCTATGTTATTATGGAAAATTTACGCTATTTCCTATATCCGTATTCCCCAGAAATTGCCATTTATTTTGGAGCTAAATTCAAACCCTATATAAAACAAGTAAATATTTTACAATAATCTTTTTAAAAACATCTAATTAAATTACTTACTTTTTCCAGGGTTATATGTCCGGTGGTGCAGGCTATGTTTTAAGTAAAGAGGCCCTCCGCAAATTCGCCTTAGAAGCCTATGATAATCCTCTTAACTGCCCGAAATTATTTCAATCTGAAGATGTACAATTGGGTTTTTGTATGGAAAATCTTAATGTTATAGCTGGCGACTCTCGCGATGAGCAGGGTTATGAACGTTTTATGCCGCTGGCCGTTAGGCATTTAATACCAAAAGATACTTCGTATTGGTATCAAAATTATGCCTATTATCCTCCGAAACAGGTGAGTTTGAATTGAAATAATGTTTTGAAATTTTATATTACAATTTCTTTTGATATTTTAGAATGGTAGCTGTTGTTCACCTAATGCTGTATCATTTCATTATATAAAACCTAATGAGTTTTATGTTTTAGATTATTTAATTTATACTTTAAGAGCTTTTGGAGTTTTGGGTAATTTTAGGCATAGTTTACCCGAGAAATTAAATGGAACTGAAGGCGTAAACATAACGGCTAGATAAGTTTAGGTTATAAGTTAAATTTTGTGTAAATATTTCTATAGTTTTTAAGGTTTTCTATACAATTTAAGAACCGGGCGGTTAGTTTGTATGTCTCCGACGCGAAAGAAAAAGCTTTCGAAATTCAATGTTTAAACAGAGTATTTGAACTCCATATTAGGATTCGGAAGAAGAAGGTTTTGAAATTTAATATTTAACAGAGAATTCGAATGTTTTTGTTTTTGAAACGAGTTAAGGAGGAACAACGTTTTTGGTTTCGAAAGTTTTGGGTTTTAAAACGAGTTACGAAGCAACTCTGTATTTGGATTCGAAAAAAAAAAACTTTTGAAATTCAATATTTAAACAGATTATTTGAACGTTCTAGAATTGAAACAAATTACGGAGCAACTCCGTATTAGGATTCGGAAGAAAAAGCTTTTGAAATTCAATGTTTAAACAGAGGATTCGAAAGTTTTAAGAGGAACAAAGTATTTGGATTCGAAAGGAAAAACTTTTAAAATTCAATGTTTAAATGGAGGATACAAAATTTCTTAGGCTTGAAATGAGTTACGGGACAACTCCGTATTAAGATTCGGAAGAAAAAGCTTCTGAAATGTTTAACAGAAAAATCGAAAATTTTTGTTTTTGAATCGAGTTAAGGAGCAACAAAGTATTTGGGTTCGAAAGGAAAAACTTTTGAAATTCAATGTTTAAACAGAGGATTCGAAAGTTTTTTGTTTTTGAATCGAGTTAATTGGATTCGAACGGAAAAGCTTTTGAAATTAAGCAGAGAATTCGAAAGTTCTTAAGATTCGGAAGAAAAACTTTCTGAAATGCAATGCTTAACAGATAATTCGAAAGTTTTTGTTTTTGAAACAAGTTAAGGAGCAAGTATTTGGATTCGAAAGGAATAACTCTTGAAATTCAATGTTTAAATAGAGGATTCAAAAGTTTTTGGAGTTCAAACGAGTTACCCAACAACTCCGTATAAGGATTCGGAAGAAAAAGCTTTTGAAATCCAATGTTTAAACAGAGGATTCGAAAGTTTTTGTCTTTGAATCGAGTTAAGCAGCAACAAAGTATTTGGATTCGAAGGAAAACCTTTTGAAATTCAATGTTTAAGCAGAGAATTCGAAAGTTCTTAAGATTCGGAAGAAAAACTTTCTGAAATTCAATGCTTAACAGATAATTCGAAAGTTTTTGTTTTTGAAAAACTTTTGAAATTTAATGTTTAAATAGGTGATTCAAATGTTCTTGGCCTTGAAAGGAGTTACGGAAGAACTCCGTATTTGAATTCAGAAGTAAAAGCTTTTGAAATTCTGTCTTAAAAGAACTTTCGAAAAGAGCATCAAAATATTTGAATTCGAAAGGAATGACTTTTGAAATTTAATGTTTAAATAGAGAACACGAAAGTTCTTGGTTTTAAAACGATTCGGAAGAAAAAGCTTTCAAAATTTACTGAAAGAAATTTATTTAAATAAGACATTATTTTTAAAGTATTAAGTTTCTTTATTGATTTTTAATTCAGATTTGTCATTATAAATTTTAACATATTTTGTTTTATTATTTAATTTATTAGTTTATTTTAATATGTATTTATTAATTTGTTTATTTTTAATATTTAAAAGTTATAAAACTAAACAATTTTTATTTAAGTTTTAGCATTGTGTTATATATTTTTAAACAATTATTTATTTTTTAATTTTTAGTTTTTATTAAATTAAGCTTAATTTATTTTTTGCTATTTTTATAATTTGTTATTTAAATATTTGTAATAATTAATATAATTAATAATATTGATTATATTTGTTGTCTAGCTTAATATTTGTTCAATTTTTGTTAGTTTTTTTTATTTGTAATAAAAAATATATATATATTTTTTATTTATTTAAATCTGTATATATTTTTAATAAGTGCACTTGCCAATTGTTGTTTTTCGTTTATATTTATTACTATTACTTACTATTTCCTTTTTCTATTTATTTGTAACAGTTTTTTTTTAATTTCAAAACTCTTAGTTGCAACTGTTATTTATTTATTTTAAAAAATATTTTGCAGACTTAAGTAGATATAAACGAAATTATAATTAACATACAAATGCATAGTTTATTTGAAAAAAAAATAGACTTACATAGTCCACATTGCAGGCAAAATTACTAAAATTATGAAATTATAGTCCGGCATGGCCGATCGTTTGATACTCTACAACTGTTATGAATTTCTCATGTATAATTAGGGAGTAAATATATAACATCTCAATCTGATCTCCTGACTGCGTCCTTGGTGGGTCCATGACATTCAAATTCAAAACCTAAACTCGAAAACACTTCCTCTTTATCTATGTAAAATTTTATTACAATCGGACAAACCGTTTAGAAGTTACAGAAGGTTTTTTCCCGCTTGAGAACCCAAAGATGTTTGGGGTCTTCAAAAAATGTATTTCAATAGACATACGAACGGACATGGCTTAATCGACTCCACTATCTATAAGGATCCAGAATATATGTATATACTTTATGGGGGGTCGGAATATTATATTGTGGAAATTACAAACGTTTTCACCCCTATTCGGCATTTCGACTACGTATCCGCTTTCAGTTAGGCTACGATGGTATTCCAAGAAAAAACGGAATCGTAAGAAAAAGAAGAAGCAATTCCACTTTATTTCAATGTTTTACGATTGCGTGTATTGTGGGCCCAAATTATGGCATACGATATTGATCGAAATCTCCATTTAGAATCTATAGAGATTTCGATCGATATTGTTTGCCGTAATTTGGGTCCTGCATTGTTATTTTAGTGACGGAGTTTCGTATCAAAATGCCGAATACCAAAGTTGCCAAACGAATAAAATTTCGATTCGAATTGAAATGCAGAATAGTGCGTGAATGACAATCTTGTCAACTACGGACCAACAAAGTTTGAAACACAGACCAAAGTAGAGGACTAAGTAGCGCTGAATTCGAATCTCTATCATGATTTCCACTTATTCCCCTCATAGCGCTAATAAAAGTGAAACTTTTATTTCCCTCGAAGTGAAAATTTCTATTGTGAATAAGTCGTGAACAATAGATTCACAATAGTTCCATTTCAATAGATTCACAATAGTGACATATTTCATAAGAAATTTTGACTATAGATAGGACTGATAGTTTTTTGATTAACAATAAGATCGAAATAAACAAAAACGTTGTTGAAATAACTGGATCTACGTCCTACGGAACGTATATATAACGATTCTGTAATGCTTTCGCATAAACATTACCGAAAGTAAACATTTCGAACGCTTTTAAAGAGTCACTTTCAAATATCATGATTCCGAAAACATATCACTTTATTACAATATAAGTGCGTTCTAGTTAAACAAATTAAGTTCTAGTTAAGAACGAATTAAGTTATTCGTGATCGAAAGAGCATTCAATTGCGACCGAAATCATTAAGTTTTGGGACAAAATTTTGGCATCTGAAAGTGCTCGAAATTTCTAATTAAAATTCAGTTACGCAAAGATCAAAAAGCCAACGGAATCGTAAGAAAACTTTTCGTTTTAATGCATTACTTTCATAGCTCTTTGGAAGTTACCTTTTAAGAGATGGAGCACATTTCTATTTGAATTGAAATACAAAATAGGAGTGATTGTTTTCTTTTAAATTTATTGCCCCCTGATTACGGACTTCGATCCCTTTAGTACCGATCATGGTATAAGTGCGTTCTAGTTAAACAAATTAAGTACTAGTTAAGAACGAATTAAGTTATTCGTGATCGAAAGAGCATTCAATTGCCACCGAAATCATTAAGTTTTGAAGGCAAATTAAAGGCACCCGATAGTGCTCGAAATTTTTAATTAAAATTCAGTTACGCAAAGATCAAAAAGCTAACGGAATCGTAAGAAAACTTTTCATAGCTTTTTGGAAATTACCTTTTAAGAGACGGAGCACATTTCTATTTGAATTGTAACGCATAATAACTTGCTCCCTGATTACGGACTTCGAAAGCAAAATTAAGGCCATTTCGAATGACACGATCACGACAATGGATATACCCTTTTCTATTCCATCTGTTTTGCATAATAGTTATATAATTTGGTAATGATTTAAGTTTCAAATCGTGGACTTAATACCAAACCCTCGTATTATAACTAATTCGCTAATCAAATAAAGGAATCGAGAGAACGCTTGAGATAACTCGGTTTGGTTCAGTTTATATTGGGTTTAATTGCAGAAGATTAACTTTAAAACTTTTGTATAATACTCAGGACTAGTTTTAGTGTATACTTCGCTAGTGACTTAGGTATAGACTAATCGAAATTGAGACTGGAATTTAACTTACAATTTGCGATAGTAACATTTAATCGAACAAGTACATTTTAATATGAAAACGATTTCTCATTTTATATACTTTATCCGGTAGTGGAACTTACCGGATAGAATCAAATCAAATATTCGGCCAAGAGTCTGTCTACTCCAGCAACAACTTTACAGTAGAGAAGTTAAAAAAAAAATCTTTCTGATTAATATTTTCGATAGGTTTAGGTTAAGAAGGGTTATGCTGCATAAACAAAGATTGATATGCACTCGATGACCAGAAGATCCATTGTGATTCCTTTCAAAAACAGAGAAACAATAACACTACAAGAAAACTAGAAAGAAAGAAGAAGATTGATAAAATTATAGAAGTAATTATCAGTCAATGCCTTAAAGACTGAAGAGATGAGAGGGAATATCTCTGACCCCCTATAAAGCCCAGTCGAAGAAGTAACTAGTTCCCTTGACAAAACCTAGTAAACTGCGAGGCTCAAGACCCGCAATATCCCCTATTTTGTCATGGAATCTATTCCCTAGTCATTTCAGCCTAAGATTCTGTATGCTAGTCCGGTGTAATGCCGTCCCACTTACTGACAAAAGCCCTAACTGAACAATGCCCCCTTAGCATAACTATCAGTAACCTAAAACTGCTTCTATCCAGTCCTATAAATAGTTGGGAAGCCCCCATATCAAGTTTTGGCCATAGGGCCTTTGATATTTTGCAATCCAATCTACTATAGCAGTAGAGTTCTATGATGCCACGGAATCTTTCGAATATCAACTTATAATAATGACAAATGGGTGGCGTTCCCATGACAATTGGATCTCCGCTCCGGAACGACCCGATTCTCAATCGGCCAAAGATTATCAACTCAGCAACAGCTGTATCAACCGGAAGTTTTTTCCCCAGGGAAGAACATACAGTTACAGCCAACCTGTTACAACAACAACAAATGGGTGGTTTTACCATCCTTTCTCTGTCATCTATATAAAGGTTCGAACCTAATCTAGCCAGTTCGTGCGCAAACTCATTACCATGACCACTACAGTTATATATTATATATTTTCGATAAATTCAATCATCACAAGTGCCAGTAACACGGACTAGGTTTAGATAGTTTTAAATTAAACTAGAGAATTTTTCAAATCGCTTATCAATTGAAGAAGTTTTTGGCATAAAATTGAGTCTGTTTAATAGAAAGTTTTCGAATTTATAAAAATTTTTAAACTGGTTATATGCTTATAGAGAATTTTTCTTTATGGAGAATATTTGAAACGATTCCTTATAACTGATCGGTTTCTTTATTCCAAGAAACTTTTTGAAAACGATTTCGAAAGCGAAAATAATTTTGAAACGGTGTCCTGTTAATAGACTTTACAGATCATATTTTTTTTCGAAATTTTGTAAACTAAAACTTGTGTTTTTGTTTTATAACTAAAATATTATAAAAAACTTA